ACTAAAACAACAAACGAAAATTTTCATAAAGGGCGTCCTAAAGATCATAATTATTATAAAAGGTATGGGTTTTAATTAAGAATATTAAAATTCTTGCACTAATTTTGAATCTATATTGTTTTGGCCTTTTATTCGCTGAACCAGGACTCCATGATTAGATTTTGAGGACTAGTTATTCAATTTGTATTGTATTTCTTGTTAATTTTGGGAAGTCAGATAAAAGCAATCATCTTTTTTTAGTTGTAGTAAATTGATGTAAGAATTAATGGATTTAAGAGACGCAGGGCAAGGAGAGGGGAAGATGGGTGATATCGTCTTTGGCTGAATGAATAACTTTTTCAAAGCCTTTTAATATAAGACCATCCGATCTTTTTAGTTTCTATAGTATTTTCTGATTCAATTTTCGTCTCAAATGTTTTTTAGCTGAAAAAATTAGCCTTGATAGTTTTTTTTTTTTTTAATGGTGATTCGTTTTCACCTCGTTCCCCTTCGTGTGGTTTAAAATTAGTCCTATTCACCAAATTTGGCCACTATTCCCGTGAGATATGAATTTTTTTAAAATCATTTTTAAGAAAGAAAATTTACATTTTTGCCCCAATATTTTATAATTATTTTAATTGACCCCAATATTTTTTAAAAAAATTTCAGTTGAACCAAGTTTTTACTTTATTCTACCACTTTTTCAATTTACCGTATTCCCTTTTATTTATCACAATCAAATTTTACTAGACCAAAATGTAAAATTTTATCACATTACTTATCCTATTTTCAATAATTTTTACCGCGAACTGACTAACAAATATTCTAAAATATTTATTTAATTTATTCCCATTATTTTTTCTGCTAGCCCATTACTAAATCAATTATCAATTTTATTATCTTATTTTGAAAAAGTCTAAAATTAATGAAATAATAATATAAAAATAAGATATTTATAAAAATAAAATAACTTTATAAATAATTTTAAATTAATAAAATTTTCATGATATTTGTTTTTAAATTTAGAATAAATGTGAAAATTAAAATTTTATTTTGTCTTTTTTCTGTTGAATTCTTTCTTCACGACTTCCATTTTCTTAAAATCTAAAATTTCAATTTTTTTTCATTTAATCTTTTTTTACTCCTAATTTTATATTTTCATCTCATAAAAAATAGAAATCCTATTTGATTTACCTTTTTTTTAATCAAAAACCCTAATGGGCTAGTTTTTATTAATATCGAAAACTTGACAAAGGCAGTGCTTAAGACTTACCTTGTTCAAAATAAAAACCGTTTGCACAAAGACAAGACAGTCATTTTACAATGAACTAGGTAACTACTGGTTTTTCTGAGTACTTGACGGTCTTTTTCTCGTGTCACCATCAGAAACAAAGATTCCAATGACCCAAACAGAGATTTACACACCTTTTACCCTGTCAACTTGATTCGCTCCTTTTGTATCACAGATCTTAGACTGCCCTTTGTGGGCAATTTTTATGAGTTCCAAAACCAGTGAGTGATATACATGCTAGGAGAATGAATAACCTCTGAAGTTGTCTCTGAAGGATGAATCGAGGGCAAAACTATGAATCAAACTAATCTGCATCAAATAACCAGATAACCACCTATATTACAAAACTAAAAGGACCGGTCAACCAGCATAACCAGTTAACCAAGTACTATAACCATAGAAACAATGACTTAACCAATAAACCGATTAACCTAGTAACCAGTGTACCAGCTAACCGGTGAATCAGCAGACCCCTTAGCCGGGAAACCGGCAGATTATTCCGATGCACAATGACCCTCCGGAAGTAGATCCAGGTGGATGTACGTCGAGATGCATCAGATCTGGAGATGGGGTGGTCCGCGTTGGTGGACGTCGTCCGGTGTCGCTGCATGTACTTTCATTGCTGCTACGTTCTTTCTCCAATGCACGGTGACCATCCGGTAGTAGATCCAGGTGTAAGTACACCAGGGTGCATCAGATTCGGAGATTCATATCGGTCCGAGCTGTGAAGTCAGATCTGTGGATCTCCAGCAGCAGTCAGCATTTTGTTGATGAAGCAACTGTTATTTTGGAGCAAATTGGAAGAGTTGTGGCTAGAGCATCTATTGCTTTTTAGTAACGCAGATCTATTTAGTTTGAGTGCTGCATTGATAAAACAATGAAACACTGAAAAAAAGGCTTAAAAATTTGAAAATGTTAAGAAAAATAGAAAGGTTTAGCTCCCCCAACCACCATTAATGGTGATTGGGGGAGGAAGAGGACATATTTTTGGGGGCTGTTGTTGAGAGAAGAAGGGGGAGAGCGGCGGCCAAACCTAATTTTCTTTATCAATTATATCCTATTTGATTTACCTTATGCTTTTCTTTACATCAATAAAAAAAGGTAAAAAAAAAATGAATGCTTACAAACTTTACTGATTTAAAAAGTGGTTAGTCAGGTAAAAATAAAGCATCAGTGTGGTAAACATAAACTAAATCTGAACAAATTTTGTGAGAGTAAATTTTATTAAAATAATTTATAAAGAAAAATTTATTTATTTTAATCTTCTTTATTAAAATTATTTTATTATTTTAGAATTTTTAGTTCCATTATTATTTTTAATTAATTTTTTAATTTTATGTATAAAATGATAAAATATATGATAGTCAGTTTAATATAGGCTAGTGGAATTAAAAAAATAATATAATTTGCTAACCAATTAAATCTTACTATCTAAAAATATAAAAATTATTTCTTTGTCTTTTTTATCGTAGAAAAAACAAAAAATATCCTAAAATATTTAGTTATTTACTTTCTTCCAATTATTTTTTTTTATAATTTTGTATTGTCGAGCGGAGTGAATGTGAAATGTTGGTTTTTTTGTTTTGTTTAGCATAGGGCCATTAGAATAAAAAAAATTGAGAAGAAAAAAAAAACATATATATCTTACTATATTAGAAACAAAAACCACACTTAAGAGAAAACACCACCATTTTCCATGTGTCATTTTCACATCATATTTTTTAAATAAATTTTTATTTCCACATCTCCTAGACTTAAAAGTCAAATGCAGTCCAAATTCACATTCACCTCCTATTTTCGCCCAAAAAAAAAAAACTACGGTTTCATAAAAAATCCAAATCCTCATCTTCATCCCCATCTCCACGATAATCGACTCCCTAATTAATCCCTTCTCCACAATTAAAAATAAATAAATTCTTCATCAATCATCAATTGAGAGTATGTGGTGAAATATACTCCTTTCCTATTAGCATGTTCAATATTTTTATTAGTGATGATCAACTACATCCTAATCGGATAAAATTTCAACTTCAAAAAATATTCTATTTACCTCTCTATATAAACACAAAGGAAAAAAAAAAATTCTCATTGATCTTGCTTCGGCCGTTGTGATGGTGGCATTACAGATCATTGGTTTGGCTTTTATTATTTTTTATTTTTCCCGTTCAGGAATAGTGTTATTACTACTCCCTCCGTCCCATAATTATTGTCCAGTTTGAGTTTTCATTTCTAGTTCAAATTATACTAAAAGTGAAATCTCAAACTGGATAATAATTTTGGGACGGAGGGAGTATTATTTTTATGTGTCTATCCGTTGCAGCTACCGTAGCCGTTGTCAGGTAATATAATGTGATTTCTTATTTGGTTAGTTTGCTTAGAATTTTTGTATGATTTTAGTTATGTTTGGATTGAATTGATTAATTGGGTTTTTATTACAAAGTGTGGTTTTTTAAATTTTTTTTTTATGTTTCATTCAATTAGAGTGGTTTTCTTTTTTTAATTATGGAGTCTCAGGTTTTTATTCATAGATGGCCAGTTACGAAGTGTGTTTTTTCTTTGTTTAATTGCTTTTGATTTTGTTTCATACTTCCAGTTGACCAATTGTTATTATTATTATTATTATTATTATTATTATTATTATTATAATTTTATTTGCAAATGAAGCGTTTTTTTTTTTGTGTTCGGGGTTTCAAGAATATACATTTTTGGATTTGGTTTTTGGACTTTTTTTTTTTAGTTTCTCATCATATAAATAGTTCAGGTCGCTTCTTCTAACTAATTTATGGGGAAGCCTTTTATGAATTTGAGGTGGAGAGGGAAGGAATGATGTTTCTACGTTTATTTGTGTTTTTATACATCATTTTTACCTACAGAAAAAAAACCTCAAATTTTAATGGGCTATCTTTTACTTTCTTTTTTTTTTATTTGCCATGGTGAGGTGGTTCTTTTTCGCTATATCTTGAAACCTATGCAAATTTACATTATTTTCATTCTCATATTTGTGATCAACCAGTTTCAACAATTAACCAGTATCAAAATTATATTTTTGATATTTTACTACCTATAAACTTTTAGAAGAAATAGTTCCAACAATTAAGCGTATATCCGTTGGAGGAAGTTAACTACAAAGCTATTATAAATCTCCAAAACTAAGTATAGATTTGGCACAACCAATGGAGAACATCAATAAATTATCTTACTAATATTTAAACTTATTAGGATATTTTTATATTTTGTCTAGCATTTACTTCAAGACATATATTTGATCATGTTTATTTATATTTGATCAAGAAGTAACACTTATAAAACATTTCTAAAATCTTCAAACATTTCTAAAATGTATCGGGCCAAATACAATTTATTTTTATGCCAAATGCAAACATCACACTTATAAAACATTTCTAAATTCTTCAAATATTTCTAAAATATATCGGGTCAAATACAAAATATTTTTTTTTTCCAGATACAAACATTTCTAAGATCTACAGATATAATGGGCTAAGGTCGCGCATTGCGCGACCAGACATCACTAGTGTATATATATATATATATATATAAATATCTGAGATTTGTTCATTTGTAGTAAAAATGAAAGAAAATGAGGTAAACAAATAAAACTCATACCCGTAATAATAATTTTCATCTTTATGATGCCCGTATTAAAATATTTTTCCAAACAACAATGGTAATCGAGCCTTAATTTTTATAATCTTAGTTGTTATCTTTTCTTCAGAAGTTCAACTTGTCGTAGAAGAGACTAATTCAATCTATTTCCTCTTTATTTTTTTTCTTTAATAATTTTTTTAAACTTTTTTAATTAATAACAATGTGGATTTATGGAGGAAGACATTACACCCAATTGGTAAATATAAATATACCTGCTAAATGAATCATCAGGTTCACGAAGGTTCTGCTTTCTTGATTAACCAAGAAGAAGAAATTTGAACTCAGTGAGTCGAAATCGATAAAAATGGCGAACGAGCCAACTCGTATACTGATGGGGGTGAACGAATCGACGATCAAGGGATACCCACATGCTTCCATAAGTAGCAGAGGAGCATTTGAATGGACTCTCAAGAAGATCATTCGCGACAATACCTCTGGATTCAGACTCCTTTTCCTCCATGTTCAAGTTCCCGACGAAGATGGTACGGATTCTTATTCTTGTTTATCATCGCCTTAAATTTTTTGGCGCACGTATAGATACTCTTTTCTTTGAATAATAATTTCGTTGATTTGCATAATTGAGCATGCCATGGTTATTGTACTGCGGCTTGACTTTTGCAGAACTCTTAACTATTTACGCTTAGTCGTGGGGATTCCTAAATAAATGGTTGAATTGTTTGAAATAAAGTTGGATTTCAATATCACAGGGTTCGATTTTGAGACCTTAGTAAAAAGGGAACTTTGATTAATCTGGGGTTTACATCCTGTGCGGAATAGGAGAATCCATTAGGGTTTGGTTATTTTGTTCGCCTTTGCTTCTGGGTTTTAGAGTGAATATAAATTCTATTGGGGGTTACAGAATTATACAGTTGTAGTACCTGTGGACCATTTGATTGAAATCTACATCTTGTTGGACTGGGGGTCAAATCAGTGTAATGCTGGGGCATGTGCCTGTTTTCTGAATGTAATAATTGGTGTTAACTGTCAAACACCCTTAACATCTCTAAGTAATTCCTGAAGGTCTGTTCCAAAGTTGGGTTTCAATTAATATAGTTGTAAGAACATATGAGTTTGAGTAGTTCGCTATGAAGATCATGAAGCTTTTGCAAGTATACTGTGTATATGGAAGTCATATAAGAATGCTTCGGCATTGGTACTACTCTTTTCTTCACCAATGTAAGATGATAGAAATGGCTTCTAGGAATGATTGTTCATTTGTTGGATATTTTTTGAGGAGAAACTAATGTGAGGAAGTGTTGGACCAAGAAAGTTTAAGGCGAATTGATTTGTTTTTTCTTTTCTTTTGCCCAAGTATAAGTGGAGATTTCACTTTTCACAGTTTCATATGGAGTTTAAATCAGATGTTAAAAAGAGATGTCATTTGTTTTTTGTTTTTTTCCCAGTATGAAAGCCAAGAAAATATGAGATTGCACCTTTTAGGCCCTTTTTTCGGGTTTAGCACTGGAAATGGTGTGTTTACTAGATAACGTGGATCTTACTTGGATCGAAGAAATTCAATGAAATATGAGATTGCACCCTTTAGGCCTTTTTTGGGACTAACTGAGGGACTGTGTGTTTCTAGTTACTTCGATCTTAAATTTTATGTTCTTTTTTTTTCGGAAAAAGTTAATTGCTGATGTGTTTCTTCTTAATTGGTTCTGCTTGCTAGGTTTTGATGACATGGATAGCATATTTGCATCACCAGATGATTTTAGAAATATGAATCGTAGGGACAAAATCCGAGGATTACATCTGTTGGAGTACTTTGTGAACCGATGTCACGAATATGGGGTATTTGCCCATTTATCTTTTTCACCTATTGCTCTGGGAATGAAATAAGTTTCTTTCCTATGCTTCTCTTCTAACCACAAACTTCCACTCTATTGTTATGCTCCTCGTTTTAGGTTGCTTGCGAGGCATGGATCAAGAAAGGGGATCCCAAAGAAGTTATTTGCCATGAAGTTCGACGCGTTAGACCAGATTTACTTGTTGTGGGAAGCAGGGGACTTGGTCCATTCCAGAGGTGTGATTTTTGTCTCTTTTTTTTTTTTTTAGCTATTGTTGTGCAAAATTAATTTGTGCCACTGACCTCCATTCCTTTCCTCTATTTTGCATAAAGTAGATTCATGGAGGAGGTGTATTATGTTTTGAGCTGTTTAAGTCTTTTTTTTTTTTGTTGGTATCGTTGATTTGTTGACTGTATCCGTTGCTGTTTTGCAGGGTATTCGTAGGAACTGTCAGTGAATTTTGTGGGAAGCATGCTGAATGCCCTGTCATCACAATCAAACGCAGTGAAGCTGAATCTCCTCAGGATCCAATTGACGATTGATTACTGATGTGTGTGTTATATGCTGTCCAGTTAGTAGAAGAATGTCATTGGTTTTTTATTGCTTTTGGATGATGCAGTAGTATATCATTTCATAGCCTGCTTCTTCCCTTGTTTCCTTTGATTTAAAGTTTCCCATTTTCGAGGCAGCTTGTAGAATATGCTTGTGAATATTGAATTGAGTTTGAAACATCTATGAAGTAGAGATTGTTCTTGTTCTAGAATCAACACCGCAGCTCTCCCAGATTTGTTGTGTTCACCGAAATTTGTTTTGGCAAACTTATTATGAGGGGAGTAGTTTTTCTTATTTTGGCTGGTCAATTTGGAGTTGTTGAAGATTTTATTTGTTAATTACATAAAGTCCTTTTTTCGTATAAAAGTTTACTCTTATCCTTACTGTTTTGGTTTAGGGCTACTGATGCAGTCGTGATGTTGTATGCCTAAAAAGAGGTCAAGAATGAAAAATTTAAGGGAATATCACTTTTTCTTATCTATGGTACTTGATGCAAAACTCTTTAATTTTTTAGTAAGAAATTGATAGAAACTTTCAATGATCACTGATGTAGTCATTGTTTGTCAATGTAATTTATTTATCAAAAGTTTTTTTTTTATGTTAAAAAAAAAACTTTTGATAAATAAATTACATTGACAATTAAAAAAAAAAACTCAGTGTCAAGCACAAACACGAGCAGGAGATATGTCCCCGTTGGTGGACAACAAAACCACTAAACTGATCCCTCATCAGTCAATAACAACAATGGCCTCAAATCATAGAACGGTTCTGATACAACCAATTGCCAGTTCTCTTCTATGGATAAAGGAAAGAATAGTTCATTGAAATTCAGGAAAACATGCAAACATGTTTTGGGAAATTAATACTTCATTCGCATTCTGTCTTGCCAGATTTCTGGAGCAATGGTGAGCCAGCCAATTGTTTCATTTACATCTAGGATGACATAATGATAATACAATGTTACTGTTCTCTGGTAAAACAGTATGTTACACCAGGCTCCACGTAAATAACTATGTTTATTTAGCTATGGGAAATTGGTGGTTATACATAAATTACATGTCTTATTAAGCTAATTCAAAGCAGCGTTTTTTAATAGACTCGAGACCCTCAAATGAAAGGTTTCCACAAGGGCCGGAAATAGTTATCAAAATTTAACTACTTACGCGAGCCTTCAATGAAGTTTTAGAGGTGGTTCTATTTGAAGACGTGTTGTATTACATCATAAAACTTCCCAGGCAATCTGGAAGTGGCACTCATAGAGGTTGAGGTTTCCTTCTGGCAATCGACAACCTCACAACAGGGATGCGGAATATCTTAAAGCTCATCCTGCTTAGCAATAAAACAGAATGAGAAAGAGTTAATTTTGATCTAGCAGTCAATCACAATGTTCGTTCTGCTTAGCAGCAAAACAGAACGAGAAAGAGTAAATTTTGATCTAGCAGTAAATCAGAACTGATAAGAGATTAAGAGTTAAGAGAGATGTGCAATAGATAGTTACATGTCAATATTATTTCATGACTAAGTGCAGAATAGATTCTCAACACCCTTGGGTTGAAACGGCATCAAGCAATAATTAACACCCAAATAGTTCACCCACCCCCAAAAAAAAAAAAAAAGAGGTTTTCCCAATTACTGATGTTTTGTTACAATGCAAACATTTTGTTCAGAAGAGCAGTGACAAGTATCAAAGATGTTCACCTTTATACTTTCTAGTGAAAATATATAATCTTGTACAATATGAACACATAAGTAGATAAAAGAGGGTAAAGAGATCAAAATGGAAGCTTACATGGTAGTCATCATCAATGTATTCAGGAGGGTCATACTGCAAGATCACACCAAACAAGTTAAAAAAACTGGATATGAAGTTGAAGCATAGGCACCAAGTCTCTAAGGCACAAGGTGAATGTTTTTAAAGCAACAAAAGGGAAGTTCAACAAGAAAGTGACATTCATGAGCAAACTGACATATCACCACTAAAGATCATTTCCACAACTTGAGAACATTTTTAAGAATTCTAACAGAATAATGATACATAATAAAGAAACAGAAACAAGAATATGACTGAAAAAGACAAATAAGTGTAGTGTCCTGTTGAACCCAGAGCAATATAAAGATCATCCTGTTAACCTCACCATATGTCCGGATGTCAGTGTGCGCGTGCAAAATTATCCAAAAGACTTGAGATAACAAGTCAAACATTGGGATTGAACAAGTCAAATTCTATATTTAATATCGAATCTTCCCTCGAACCATTAACTTCCATGGAAAGTCACTAACAATTTTAGAGTTCTAGTAGAGGTTGGTCTGAAAAAAATTTCTGTTTCAAGGCCATACTTCAAGAAGAATGCACAGAACCAGGGAGGACCGTACATTTCACCATCTAATGTACCTAGCTGGCTAAGTGAACGTTGTGTTATCAATTGCTTAACTGTGGCAACCTAAAACTGCTCAGGACAAGTTGATAATGTATGTGGCGCAATTCAGTGAATAGTAACAATCCAAAATGAACAATTTCACCCTTGCTGAAACCATCAACCTTATAAGGAAAAGGGAATTGCGCAATCTGGAACTCCGCAACAAGCATTATTTGATGGGTTTCATTCTCAGGTAACCATTTCTCGTGAAACATGCTAAGGGGCATACCAGGCATTTGGGAACTAATGTAGGCTAGTCAACAATAGATTGTTGTGAGTTTAGAATCTGAAGTCACTTGGTTGATGCCTCAGATACTTCCTAACAAGAGAAAGACATCACGCATGAGACAGACCAAGACACCTTGAATTATCAACATGGAGTTCAGAACCTTTTCTTTAATATAGTCGAAGTCAAAACTCAAGTCGCAGCATAAGGGCTGTACAAAATCTGTTTCATGCCATTGTCAAAAGGGCTTATGCAGCATAGAAATTAAATATTTAAGGGGATTGAAGATGGTACCAGAAATTAAATCTCTACTAAAAGCTAATTTACGAGACCCTCCAATGCAACATGTCAACCAAATAAGTAGCTGGCATTTGCGAAATTTAAAGTTGGAAAGCAAAAGAATTAGAAAAACGTAACAAAGAAAATCAGTAATATGTTCATCAAGTAATTAATTGGCTGTCCACCAAAGTTACACACTTAACTGCAATTAAAAGGAGAATCCATAATTGCCCCAATTTTTTTCTGTGACAGTAAGGATTCACATTGACAAAATTGTTGTTTGGGTTTTGCATTAGAAATGTAACAAATTTATCCTGTACTGCAAGTTCTGCAGAATGTATAAGTACGTGTATTAGAAATGAAAAATGTTTTTACAAAACGAGAAATGAAATGCAAAATTCAGGGATAAGACAAATAAATTAATTTAAATGTGCAAGGAGAACATATACACACAAAAAAAAATCAGACAACTACTTGAAAATTAAAATTGAGTTTTGATTACATTCCCCTCTCCCGCGCGCGTGCACATACCACGGATAATGTGGAAAGTATAGAATGCAGGATGGAAAGCATGAAGCAGAAAAGAGCACAATGTGGCAATATTAAATTTTATCCTTAAAAGTAAAAGACAGTAAAGCAAAAATGAAGTACCCTCTTATGGTGCCTCCAGCCTCTGTTTCTCTTCTTTTCACCTTCTTTGTCTTTTTTCCCTTGCTGCAGTATAAGAATAATGAAGCTATCACATAATGTAGAAGAAGAATACAGGTCAAAACTGATAGGCTCCTAATAAGGTCATCATTACCTCCTCTTGCGCTAATCGGATTTTCTCTGCCTCCTCAAATGCCTCCTTCTCAGCCTTCAGAAACAAAGATGTCAAGTTAAATAATCAGACACCGCAATTCAAATTATAACTGCTGCTAGAGCACTACTCACCAATCTATTTTTGGCCCATATTTCTTCCACAACTTCTTTAGCATATTTGGGATCATCACATAACAGAATATTGTCATAAATTGAACCAGCTTTGACCTACACAATTTAGAAAATTTAAGATTACATTCATTGCAAACCTTGAAAGAAATGGCCCATTGAAGTAATAGCCATCCGGAAGGTATGTTTCCCATTAAAGCCTCAAAAAAGAGATCCAAGGAGGAACAGAAAATAGAAAGACGGGGAGCATTTGGCTTACCTGCCAAACTTCAATACCAATATACTTAATAGGTTTCCAGACATACAAATCAGGATCATCTACAAACTCTGCATGGGTTACATGAACAGAGGAAGATAAATGAGTAGTTGAGTTGTAATAGAAACAAAAAGGTAACTAATGAATTGAAACAATAATCGGCTCACACAGATTTGTAAACCCCATATACCCCCAAAAAAAAAAAAAAAAACAGAAAAAAACAAAAAAAAAACAAAAGAAAAAAATAAAAATAAAAATAAAAAACAATTATTTGGCAAGCAATAGGTGATAAATCACCAGTTCAATAAAGAAGAAGAGGAAAAGAAAAACCCTTCACAAAACTGTTTAAAATTTTGCACAACAATGTTAGGAAGACAAACCTGTTTCATCTAGAAACAAGGGACAGATTATCAAAAAGGAAAAAGGAAGAGGCACATGTGAAACTTTTCAAAGGATGTGCAGGAGAAGTGTTTATCTGTTATGCTTTCTCTCCATACGAACAAGATATTTTGAACTTCCATGATGCAGATACAAGCATCTCAAAATCCCGTTAATAGTTTGGATCTCTTACCCTCTTTCATTAGTATTTCTTTCAACCGTCAACATTACGCATGATATGTCCTGCTTTTTGTAAACCCAGCACTTTCTAGGATGATCGTGCAAAATTTGGCTACAACAGGGCATTGAGAAAACCTTATGTCCTACAGAAAATGGCTCAAAGATACAAAGTTACCTACTGAGTTTATTGGCACTCCAAAAGAAATGAAATCCCTTCTTAATGTCCTATGATATGAAGAACAAGACTCTGTTTCAAATAATTCCACCAGGAAACGCAAAACTGTAGAGTATGAAAGGCATGGTATCACCCCGAGGGGCAGAGATAGATCCGAATACCTCCAAGGAGCTATTATTTATTTTTGGAGTGAACACAATTCAGTCAAAATTTTCTGCAAAAATAATTGTTATGGGTGCAGGTGACAGAGATTATTTGGAAGTAGCAAATGTATGTAGCTCTAAAGAATCCGTAACTATTTTCCAAAATCGGTCATACTACTTAAACAGCCTCTCTGCATCGAGTGGTAAGGCTGCATACATCTGGGTACGTTGTTATTGTTGTTGTTGTGGACCAGATAAGATCATGGTGGATTGATCGAAGTGAATATGTGAAGTAACTTAGATTTTAAAGCAACAAAACCTTAATACCAGAAGAAAAGCACAAGTTTTCATTAAGCCACTAATACCCCCACTCTGCAAACCCCACAGCCACCGACAAAACAGCTTATTATATTATTAGATCAACAAATCTTAAAAATATATCATGAAAACTTTTCAATTCATCTGGGAGTTCCCAGCAATCCCATTTTGTTGTCAATGCTTCAAAGTAAACTTCGCAAAAAATAGAAACTCAAGCATCAGGTTTACTCAACGCCAAACAAAAAATAAAAATAGGAAAAAAAAAAGAAGAAAATAACCAACCTGGATTATCAATCCAAGGAATTTTCCACTTCCCCTTGTAATTAGGATTTTTGATTTTCTGCACACCATGCTCCAAATGTTTAAATATGCTACATGTTATGAGTTTTCTTAAGTTGAATCTGAACACAAGTACCTTTGGTTTCCATGGTCCTTTGTAGGCAGGATTCGGTATCTTTTTTGGCCTCCATATCCCATCCTCTTCTTCATCCCAATCGACAGGCTGTTGCATCAGAATCAAAAGAAGTTCTAATACATTACATTAATAGATGATGAAACAAACACATTGTATTGAAAAATCATGTTTCAGAAGAAAGGAGAAGTTCTGACACAAATAAATAAGTTCTGTCTTAAGTGGAGGTCCAGCATCTCCATGCAATCCTTGGTGAAAACTAATTTGGTTATTCATTTTTTTTTCCTTTTAGCCCATTAGCTGCAATTTTGTTTAAAACTACAATTTCTGTAGACCACTAATTGAAACTTTAAGGTCACCTAATGAGATAATCTCAGAAGTAAATGTCTAATGTATGTGTATATAGGTGTATGGTAAAGGGTACTTTGAGTACTCAATGACAATGACTTCCAATGTTAGTGTTTGGTAGGCATCAATGGATCTGGTACGGGTGGAAATTATAGGATGGTCTACCAACCTTTTTAGCTTTAGGATCCGGTATCTCTTTTGGAATTGAGTCATATCCCTGCAAAATTTGGATGCAATATTACTTGGAAAAAGTTTGAGAATGATACATGATTATTTCCGAAGAAAAAGACCAGAGATTGTGGTAGCACCTGTGGTTTGACATCATTGGGGTCAGTAATGTACTCTCTGTCATCCCAGTTGGATGGCTGTGAAAAGCAAATATGTTAATGTCTTAAAGAGCTCAAGTAGGGCACCAACCAAAAAGACTTGTCTCTGACTGTAAACATGAGTAGGAGTACAAGCTCGAATTGATGAAAACTTTTCACCATAGAGTTTTCTACCCATTCCAAATTACATACATCAAAGTTGCTACTGCATTACCTTTTTTGCATGGACATCCTTTATTTTTGGTGGAGGGAGGATATCCCAATCGGTGTACAAACTTCCCGACTCTCTTTCACGATTATCTATCAGGACACTGTATGTAGCATCAGGTCTTAATATGAAAGTGTAGAAATGAGTTAACTTGTCGGTTTCACACTCTATATCTTTCTTAATTGGATAATTCTGCCCTTGGTAAGAAACTATAACTTGGAGCTTTTTGGTCTGGGTGCCACATATGTCTGGTCCAAACATGAAACTGCATGGAAAGTAAAAAAGGATTCATAAGCTGAAACATCACAAACTTATGCCAAATAAAGAACCAGGAAACAAGAAGGTTCACACGAAAACAAAACTCCCAATCTTTTAATACCATGGCGGAGATTCACTGACTATGTTAATGATTCAGAAGTTCAAATGACATTATCAGGATACTCTATTGATTTTAGATGTCAAACACCTTACAACCCCTAACTTGGAAAGCTAAAATCATTCGAGACTCTGTACAATTACAATCTTTCCCTCAGATTGCAAATCAAGTTCATTGTACAAGGCATACACTGGTTCCAAACTAAAGAGCGCAAATTTGAGTCCAGCTGTATAATTTTTGGGTTCCAACTCTTTATGACACTAGTTAACTGTACATTGTGGCACTGTGCAACAATTTTGTTTAGCACTGCTGGTATTTCAATTCTCAAGTGAATTTTAAAAGCACATTTCTTTGGTTCCATTATCAAAGACCTGATGGAAAATGGATGCTTCTATTTCAGTACAATACAAAGAGTAAACAGAAAAAGTTTTGGTAAATTGTCTGCTGCCTTTTGTTTTACGGAAGACTTACTATCTCCATACTTTCCTCAAAGAAGACATAATATCTCCATATTTTCCTCGAAGACAACAGAGTTTTTCAGCTTTTACCCCTTTAAGACAGATAGATACGTACAGTGTCCTGATATATTGCTTCCTATATTTGCGCATGGAATGCAGAATTAATAGCATTAATAGCTACACTAAAATAAATACCTGTAAGGAGTATCTCCACCAAATTTCTTTTGGTTAACATAGGCAGACATAAGCTTAACATAACCACCTCCACATTCAATATCTTGTTCAAACTTTATGGAATACTGAAACACCAGAGTCCGGTTCTTGTTGCTAAACTGAGGTATCTTAGCAGATATAGCATAATGCCGGGCGTCAATGTATGTTTGAAGACCTGCAGATTTGGATAGATTAGTTCTGCCTTAATCCCATGGGAACCAGAAGAACATAAGACTACACACCATCATACATTCCGAAGACTACTTGCATGTATGACATTTGGTTCTAGCTAACTAATCCAGGGAAAAAGAGCACAACGTCGCATTTATAACTTAACTATTCCCCATCCTCCAGCTTAGTCAAGATTTCATTAACTTCATCTAGTGTGTTTGGAAATTAGAACCGTTTACAGTCCAGTGGTCAAGGGTGTCTTGTTCCTGTCTTTTAATGAGGATACAGTTATCATCATCTCGTAATCTCCTCATTTCCGCGTTTCTTACTTCCCATCCTTTCCTTTATCAACTTTAATTTAAAAAGAAAAGAGCTCTTAAAAGAGGAAATTGATTCTCACTCCACGTCGGTCTGATTCTGTAGTTCACAAATTCTTTAAACAACAAAACAAAAATTCCATCTGGTTACTCCATCATCACTAAGAGAAATTATTTTTTCCTATATTCTAATCTGTTACTTCATGATACCCATAATTCCTTCACCCACAAAATGTCACAAAATTTTAACTACATAACTAGCATAAACTTATAGAAACATCTTATGAAGATTTAAAAAAAAATTGCAGTAAAATGGAAGTCAAAGCATAAAACACAAGACCATTGAGTAATAAAGAAATAAACATATGGAGAAATTGGAGGATCAAAAAGAAAAAAGCAGCACCTTTATCATCAGGGTCAGCAGCCCACCTTCCAGCTGTATGCTTAAATGTCCCAGCTTTCCCTTCACTTCTCTTCCAATCTGATAAAACCCACCTATCTTTCCACCCGTCTGTTCATCAACATTACAAAGAATTCAAAAAAATTCATTAGCAAGAAACTTGAATAAACTGGAAATTTTTAGCTGATTTTTTTTTTTTTTTGCCCTTTTCAGAAAGAAAAGAAGAAGATAACAATTCTGAGTGAGTCATTGATTTTCACCTTCAAACCTTTCTTCAAAGATTATTTCTGACAAAGAATGGTTGAAATTCAAGAAGTAAAGCAGAAGTATAAGAAGAAGTCTCATTTTTTTTTCCTTCAGCTGAGCTGATGGAGAAGAGTAGAAGACCAACTAAGTGATCAAACGTCAGACAAGAGAGAGGGAAACTACAAATATATAGTTATATACTCCTCCTAGTACTTATTTGAGAGAGAAATCTTTTTAAATCTACACTAAAAACGATCAAATTAAACGGAACCAAAATGCATAATCGGGCCACTATCTATCAACATTCAAAGTGGACGAAGTCAACAAAAGACTTGACTTGGGCGTCAGTCCACTGGAATTATTAGAGTGGAACTTGGAGGAGGAATATGTGGCGTGGACTTGGAAGATTTTAATTGAACCCCAATTTTGGTGGAGCATCATTTACGTTAAAAATGAAATTCTTCACTTTATAAGCTCCTAGTCCTAGACCGGCCTTGGACCGTGGAATTTCCCACATCAACAGTCGATTCACTGGCTAAACTAGGCCTTGCCTATCCCCTGAGTACGTTTTGTCAATACCCTCGATATAATCCTAGATAAACTAGGTAGTCCTAGTTCAACTCACTATCGAGCTCCTCTTGTATTCTAAGTTTCTCGGTATATATATAAAAAAAATAAAGTTGAAATTCTCCTTCTCCTTCTTTCTTTTGCTTTTTTGGGTTGTGTTCCTAAAATGGGAAATTAAATAATTTTTCCTTTCATTTTAAGGATTTCCATTTGTTAGTTCGAATTGCAGACTACATAATTGGAACATTCAAAATTTTTTATTATTATTAACTCAATGTATTATTGGGAGAAATAATTGTACTCATTTCCTTTAGTCTTTTATTGTGTTTTTAATTTAGTTTCAATAAACGTCTTGTAGATTATTTATCTACAGTATAGCGGCAACATCTTTATCGATATTTGCAAGTATGACGGCAGCATCCTTGTTGATGTTTGCTAGTATGATGGCGGTTTCGTCGGTGATGTATGCAGGTACGGCGACGAAGGCTTTATTGAAGTTCGTCCGTTTGGCAAGCATGATCCAGGAATATTCAGTCATAATAGATCTAATTATTATTAGGTTTACGATTTGGGGGTTTCAACCGAAGGTTATAGTTATATCCTTGACCGGATTAAAAATCTAATACGTGGTGCAACCATTATTTTATGGGGTAGATCAGTATAGGTTTATCCATGTAGTGAAACATAACAATAGCATTTGTAAGTTGTGTTTTTATGGCTGTATCTTGCTTTTATCAATCCAGCTAGATGTTTTCTAGTAAATTAATGAATTTATCTTTATTTCTCAAAAGAATGTATTATTGCGTTATTGGTATAATTGAATTTACCAATGTATTAAATAATTAACTAATGTATTACTAGTGTTTTTCCCACACGTTGTACGGATTGTTCAAGATATATATGAGTTTAATGATTTAATGATTATACGTAAAAAAAAATAATATGAATGATATAAATTGAAATTGAGTAACTTTTTAGTGTGAATGTGTTTTATGATCTAAGTAGATTTAGAGTAATTTTCATTATTCGAAATCAATAATGTGAATGTGAGTGTGAATGTGTTTTTGTTGATTTATGTCTTTATATCTTTTAAAAGTATTTTATTAATTTTTATTATGACCTCTCTAAATATTTTCTAGGTCATATTTTTTAAACTCTCACTCTAATATTTCTAATTACTTCTTTCCATAAACTTATTTTTATTTTCCATCTATTTATATACCTTTTGCTACTTTTATTTTTAATCTCTCTATGTAACTTTTGTAACTTTTCTTTAGAAGTGCGTTCATATATTTTTCCTAATATAGTTTTTACTTCATTTTATTTTCTTGGTTGCATAGTTTTCACCTTTTTATTTTCTAACTTTCATAACCTAGTTTTAAAACTACTTTTCTGACAACATTATAATAATTCTTTCATTTTTTACTATTATCTTGGTTTTTTATATTTTTTTATTCTTGACATAATTTTTTATCCATATAATTATATTTAGTTTTTCAATATACTTTTCTTCTACTGTTTGTTTTCCACAAATACCTTTATTTTTATTCTCATTTTAGAATACTTTCTCCCTATTAATCTCTATGTTTTGTTTTATCATCACAACATTAACGTAGTTTACCATTATATCATATGAAAAAAATGTAATGAATATATTACTGTATTATATTAATTGATAAGTAATCATTTATCATATTATATGGTATAATATATAATATAATATATTTTTATCTTAGTACTTGAATAAAGTCTTTAGGACAAAGATATTAAGTGGAAAATATTGAGTGAAAAATATTCATCTACAGATGAGATCTGGTCCGTTTCGATCCAACGGTCTATATAAATTTCACCGCCACGACTTAAGTGGGGATAAAGTCGTAATTTAATATATTGGATTTCCCCATCTTTTTCTGAATTTTAAATAAGACCCTGGACTGAAAAACGATGACGTTTGATCAGGGGATTTTTTAAAACCCCGGACTGTGAAAACGAAGTCGCTTTTAAGCACGCGGGTTAAAATAAATTACACCCCAAATTGCAACAACTTCGTCGTCCTTTCTTCTTCAATTCAGTTGGGAACTCGGAAAGAAAATCGTCAAGCCGACCTTGGTGAAGAATAGATTCTTCTTCTTCGTTGTTGATGTCGACGATGCCGCGGCGACGTCTTCCAAAATTTTGGCATTCCTTTTTGTACTTTGTTTTTCCTTTTTGGCTCCCGGGTGTTATTCCTTTTTGGTTTCCTTCAGACGAACGATTTGCCGATTTGGAGATACATTCTCCCAGTCACCAGTCGGGTTGCCCCCGATTCGCCATTATTGGGTTTTGGAGATGCTCGATGCCGGATTTATTATAATTGGCCACCATCAGATCTATGAACGGGTTTGCCAGAGACCGCGGCACCGGCGGCCGCGTTGTGGACTGAGACGGTGTAGGTGGCGAGGGGGGCGTGGATATCTGATGGGCCTAGAAGAGAGCAAGAAGAGAGGTAATTGGGGTTCATTTTTTGCATCTTTAGACACTGCTCCTAATATTGAATTTATGATCTCTGGATAATAACTATGGTAATTTAGCTCTTTTTTGGACGTACTGTTCCAAAAATGTGCATTGGTTCTTGGTTCCTACAAGATGAAATTTCTGCGGACTAATATGTGAAATATTTCAGTGCCAAGTATAAAATGATATTAGTTCTAACACTGTATGTGCATGGTGCTTTGTGGGAAAAAAGAATCTTGATAAAGTGATTGCTTCAACAAAGGATAAAATGATTTCAAGTTTCAACTTTCTATTTGTTTCGGATGCATTATGAAATTTTTTGTTTATGGAATCAAAATTAATTTTGATTTTCTCTTTTTTCTTTTGTGTTTGATTCTGGTATCGTGGTTTGATGTATTTGAGTGTGTTGTGTGGTGCATAGAGCTGATTTACTTTGGGTCACAAAGGTAGTCGTTCGTTTGGTGCTGGAGATCTTTGCAATGTAAGCCCTCCGTTCTGCTTAGTATATTTTGTACTATTAATTTTGTGCTTTATTCAGCTAAAATGATATCTTTTGCCCGTTCTTATTTTCCCTTCTTTTATTAGCCACTTCTTTTAATGGGTTTCTAGTAGTTAGTGATAAAAGCTTACTTTTCATTTTTCCTTTTTCCTAACCACTGCTGAATTCAGAAACCCCAATCTATATCTACTTAGTGATGGTTTCAAATTTTCAGGAATCTGCGAGGTTATTATGGAAGCCAAGAAGATCACCCAGGACACCAAAAACAGCATGCAGATTACTTTCTCCAAGAACCTCGAAGTGAAAGTTTCAGGTAATTAATATCAACATAATCATCGGTTTTAAGAACTATTGATTTGTGGCTTTCATTGGTGTTACAAATAAAGATTAATATTTTTTATTGTGAAAACAATTTCTTTAAGTATCTGCACGAAACAAATCAGCAACCCATTATATATATATGCATATATTGTTCAAGATGGATGAGTTTTCTATGTTCCAGATTTGGCTTGGTCCCTCTGCTTGATGTAAATAAACGGCTGAGTTATTTAGTTTTGTTAGGCAAAATTGAAATATAAATCAACTGAAAGCTTGACCTGGTGAAAGAATATTTGTTTTTCGCAGAGCGATCTTTGTTTATTTTCTCATAAAAGGTTTGAAGATTAGGGACAATAGTATTAGCAACATTTTTGTTGAATCACTTTGTGAGTATTGAGAGTCCACTGAAATAAGAGGAAAATAAATGTGACAGGTGGGGGGGGGGGGAGTATACATGGTTTTTCATAGGAGTTTGATGGTTTTAGAAGTTTGGAAATTTGGCCTAATTTGAGTCTGAGCATACGGTGGACAAAACATAGGATTTGAAGAGAATTTCGAAAGTGTTAAAAGCTCAAAATTACATGGCTACTAAACTGATTGTTATTGATTAATCTGGTATTTCTTTATTTGTCATTTTAGTTTAATCTCCTTTTGTTAATATTCCTTGAAAGCTCGTTCGTTTTTTTCTCTCTTCCACCTAATTGAGTAATCACAGCTCTCATCTTTGCATTATTTTCCCTGATCATTACTGCTTAAGTTTCAAAAATAACAACATCAAAAATGAACTACAGCAAACATACTTTCTTTCATTCCTACTAATAATTTATGTTATTTATGAATAAAACCTTTGATTTATTTCTTCAATCAAATCATCACAAAAAATAAATAGTCACATCTAATAGCAGCATTTTTTGTTGGTCTTTCATCGCAGTAATGATCAAATTTTTTTAACTAGTATTTTTTTCTTGTATATTCAAAGCCAAAAGGTATTCACTTTTGCAAAGATTAAGTTAAAAAAAGGTATTCACTTTTGCGAAAAGTCATTCAACAACACTTAGGGAAAAGTGCAGAGATAGAGATGAACTCACTTGTGAATGGATTGTGTTAGAATTATACATAAATTAAATGATGATGATATTATTTATTGCAAATTCCAAATCCCAGAGCTAGGGCTTGCTTGTGTGCAGAATCCTTGGCCTCCATTTGAACTTTCAAGTTTTATGTCTTACATCAGGTTCTTCCATTTTTAGAGGAGATAACTACCTTTCTAAAGAAGATACTTGCACTGATTTGCTTGTGTAAGTTTTCCGAATCTATGATCGAATGCTTGCTTTAGTTAATGTGTTACACCGTGGCCATCTACTTCACTGTGTCCCGTGTGAACAAAGAGTTTGAGAAGGGCTCATTCAAGATTAGGCACTTGGCATAGCAGTCTTTTAATGAAGCGGCTAAAGGGAATTGCAATGACTTCTATATTGACCATCACAGATGCCCTGAATTTTCATCATCTTCACTTGGGTTTTTCTCCGAATTCCAAAAAAGAGCAGTAGAGTTACTACCTGACTTTTGGACAAGACTCTGAACCTCCCTGCAGGTTTGGATGGTTAAACTTTTTATATTGAGGGTGAAAATTGTGTTTGCAAGATCCAACCTTAATACATAGTTACAACGTTGAAATGCAATACAAATATAATTGATTTAAAATTACAAGTACTCTTACACTGATGTGATCTATTGCATGTATACATTAGGTAAGCATGCGAAATTTCATTTTAAACATTCGCGTTGACTTTTTGGGCCTTTTTTAAATTTTAATTAGATAATAAAGAAAAGTCGAGGAAAAAGAAATTTGCTGGAAATTTTAAATTTTATATTCCTTGGATTTGGATTTCAGGGCGGCGATTTGTTCTTTGGATAACTTGAAAATCACACGGTTGTGTCCGGTAGTGAATCGGGTTCCTTCTGCCGCAGTATCTCATTAAAATTGTATCTGAATATAGTGCTTGGAGATTACAGAAGACAAACTTCAGTGACGATAACATTAATTTGTTGTGCCCTGTGATTTCTTCTATTACAAATATTGCAGAGTTGAGTTACACAAAGATGATCTAATGATTTTCAATTGGATACAAACCTAATAATTAATTTCCCATAGTTACTAATATTATAAGTTGTATTATATGGTGTAAGAGTAACATGGATAATGTATTACTCCCTCTGTCCCATAATTATTGTCTAGTTTGGATTCTCACTTTTAGTATAATTTGTACTAGAAATGAAAACTCAAAGTGGATAATAATTTTGGGACGGAGGGAGTACTATGCAATTGATGTCTAAATTTGAATTGTAAGAAGTACACCTGATTTGAAGATCGAAACCCCATATCTTGGCCTGAAATAATCAATTTCCAATTTTCTCATATGCACATCAGTCATTCATGAATCATGATGATCCATGCTGGTTGCTCAACACTATGTGGCAAAAGCCCTCTCTAATATGGTTATTGTTGGTTTAGTCAGAGGAATCATCTCGGGAAAGCCACTTACTGTGCAACGCCCAGTCACCTCTTTTTTTTTTTTTTCCCACTTATGTGTCAAGAATCATAAATGGTTACAAACAAAAAAAATAGCAAAAACTTAAAAAGAGACACATTGATCACTAATGAAGTCATTTTAAATGAGTAAATTTTGTATTTTATTGTAAAATGTTTCATTTAATTGGTTGTTAATAAATTCATTTTGTTTCCTATTGTTGACAGTAAAATGAGTCCAACCTTGAAAAAACTTACTAAAATAAGCATTTTAACTAATATTGAAAAAAACATCTTCTCAAACCAGGACTAAGCAAAATCATTCGAAAAAGTAAATAATAAACGAACTGGTAATGCGTTTATACTTCATTCTTGTCATCTATGGTTAAGGGAAATGGTATTATCTATGCTCGATTTGAAAATTAAATAGCAAAGATGACTGATGTTTTAGATGCTAAAAGTACATGTATCTCTTTTTTAATAAACAATTTCAAATAAATTCACTTGATGTATCCTTTATACTTTTCAATTTCTGAGCAAAGACACACGCAATCATAATTCAATTCCTTAATAGGTAATTCAATAAAAACAACATAAGTTTACATTTTTTCGTCAACTATTAGTTGTCTAAAAAAATTCAGTAACTCTATATTGATCCTAACATATTTAATGAAACAATAATAACGAAATATGATTCCAGAAGTACTTATCGTGCAACGCGCGACCTGAATAACACTAATATTGTTAAAAATCTGGCCAATTAATATATAATTATATTATTAGTATTAGTATTATTATTATTCTAATTTTTACATAACATAATCAATGATAATCATTTATTAGCATTCTCTATTGTTTATTAGAGGGACAAAAGATATATTACCTTTTAAAAAATTTACAATCAAAGCACCAAATTGAAATAAAAACAAATACACTAACCAATAAAAAATTGAAAAAATACATTAATAGCTACACTTTAGCACATAACTATATAAATCAATATTGATCAGTGAATTGGTTTTTTTCATCATGGTTGTCGATTTTTTTTTTTTTGCTTTACATCAGTTTAATTTTTTATTTCAGTTAGTTATCTTTGGATTAGGAAAATTATAAGTATAGTGAAATATCATAGTGATGTACTGAATAATGTCTAAATGTATAATTGGTAGTTCATGTGAGGATAATAACTACCTCTTAAAAGTTGACTAATGAGTAAAATACACATCACTTACTACACTAAAGTCTTCACTTTCTCTGCACCACTATTATTATGCATATGTGTTTTTGCTCAATATGCTTTTGGTTTTTTAATACATTATTATTATTATAATGCATATGTACATATTAATGGGGCACAAGATGTATAGGACTATGTTGTCAACGTGTGGAGTTTACTTTTTGAATTTTTTTTTATGTTTCTTTTTGGTCACTATTTTATTATATCAATTTTATTTTTTAATATATTTTAGTTGGTTATCTTTAGATTTATTACTATTATTATTATGCATATATGTTTTTTCTCAATATGCTTTGGATTTTCTATACGTTAATATTATGCATATGTATATATTAATGGAGCACAAGGTGTATAGGACTATGCTGTCAACATGCGGTGTTTACTTTTTGAACTTTTTTTTTTAAATTTTTTTATTACCTTTCTTTTTTTATCATGGGGTAGTCTCTTATTTAATTTAGTTTTATCTATAAATTTATAATTTTACATTAAAAATTTATCATTAAATGATTGAGTGATGTGGTTGCGATATGTGTACTTGGGTATCTAATTTTTTGCTATATGAATTACCATGTCTAATTTTATACTATGTGTCCGATTGAAAACTTTCATTTAATATATAAAGAATATAAAGATTATTATTATTATTAATATTAATATTTTATTTATTTATTTATTTATTATTATTATTATTGCTACTACTACTACTACCTTTCGGTGATCACTCTATAAATTTGATGGTCCTATTGATTTTCCTTTAAAGCGATTTTTTCTACCATTTTTGGGTGATTTTATTATATAATTTAAATATTCCTATTATTATTATTAGGTGAACGAAAAAAAACGAGGTGAGCTAAAAGGAGCCCATTCATCGTGTTGTTTGATTTTATTAACTTTATACCATTTTCGCATATTTTATGGTCACTTTTTTTTAACCATGGGGTAATTTTTCCTAATTAATTTAGTTTTATCTATAAATTTACAATTTAACATTATAAAATTACTATTAAATGATGGAGCGATGTGGTTACGACATGTGGACTTGGCTATCTAATTTTTTGCCATGTGGAATAGCCTATCTAATTTTACGCCATGTGTCCGATTGAAAACTCTCCTTTTATAGATATATATATATATATATATATATAGTTTTTAATTAGAGCAACATACATACTGTTGATGTGTCAGTAAAACAATAAAAATTTTCCCCCCAAAGGTTATTTTCAGTACAAAATCATTTTTGACATATGACCCTCTAACTATTCAGAAAAAAAAAGGATGGAATAAATTAAAAAAGAAATTCGTTAATTATAGCTACATACTAATTCCTTAATTATAGCTCACTTAAAAGTTAAAACAACAACATTGAGTTGATAAAATCAACTGTCAAATAATCCCCTTAAATCATTTATTTAGATTAACTCAAACATCAAATAAATAATTTGATTAAGAAGGTAATTATGCCTCTCTTTTAGCAACGATAATGCGCATTGATTCAAATCCCTACAAATTAGTTAGAATCATCGTTATCAACTAGAAAACAACACGATCAAATCATCCACATATCACCCAAGACAATTCATGTAATCATTAATTGAAAATCAAACTTAACCTATTCATAGCCATATTATCACCATAATAATAATAAAAAAATATCAACAATCAAGAATCGGGGGGAAGAAGTTACAATTACAGAGGAAGGCTCGAAAGAAAAAATCGTAACTACGGGGCCTTATATTTTTCCGATGGTTTGGAAATGAAGGTTAATAAAATGCTGAATTGTTCATATGGTAGAAGAGGAAGAAAAATTTTAACTAGATTTTGATTCATATGAATATAAAAGTTTGTACGGCAATGCTTACTGCGTTAAAAACTTGATTTTTAGCCAACCCAAGAATTTTTCACTTCTTGACAGTTCGTCAATAATTGATTTGACCACTCAAATTACTCTGTCTTTGATCTCCTTCGGGCTTTGTTATGCACTGAATAATATATTTTTCTTATTAATATTAATGAAAAAGTACAAAATCATTTGAAATTTACTAGAACATGATAAAGTGTTAGTCGGTCGGGAAATCGCCGACTGAGACACTACAGTTTTTGTACAATGAGATGTTTTCCCGAGATATTAAAATTTTAATAATAACCAAGAAGTGAATGTTGAAAATTGTTTGGGCTAATCTCTTCATTTGTTAGTTTTTTTTCCCCTTCAAATACATATTAATTTTTTAAACTGGGCTCCTGTAACGGTACAGATTAAGACTCTAAAAAATAATATATGATTGTGTTAAAACATATACTCAGGGCAATGACCCTTTACTGTGTTCCCATACGATACGATTATAAAAGGATATTTATTCTGTTTTGAAAATATTATCTTCTTTATTTACACAAGTAGTTATTCGGGCATTCGCCCAAGACAAGCATCTAGTAGAGATTAGAGTAGAACTTCGCTACTTGGAAGTGGAATATGTGGTGTGGAAGAAATTAAATCAAGGGTCCCAATTTTAGTTGGAGCATTATTTACGTTATAAATTTGAAATTCTTCTTCTCCTTCTTTTTTCTTTTGCTTTTTTTTGGGTTTGTGTTTCTAAAATGGGAAATTAAATAATTTTTCCTTTCACTTTAAAAAATTCCAAATTGTTGGTCCGAATTGCAGACTACATAATTGGAATATTCAAAATTTTTTTTTAACTCAATGTATTATTGGTGTAAATATTGATAAGTTTTATTTGTTTAGTATATGAAAAATCAATTGCTAGTGTTTCACTTTTTGCCCCATTTTTATTTATTATTCATAAAATTTTGCGACAAAAAATTACAATGTCTCCTAACCCTTTATCCAAATAGCATTTAGAGTGAACACTTAAATTGGAAAATTTGCTACAAGAAATGACTACTAGTCAAAATATTGTGCAAGAATAGAGACTTCAATAAAACTAAAAAGAGAAAGACACAACATATTGAACTTCGTGGATATAATATCTTTTACCCCCGAAAAAAAAAACTTAATATAAAACTCATAAGTAAAAAGAAAAGGGGGCAAAATTAAAAAAAAAAAAAGAAATTTCGGAATGGCGACTTAGTAATTTAAGACAACTTTAAAAGAAAAGTAATGAGCATGCGTCTTACAAAACATCAAATACTCATTTGAATGTAAAAGAACCTACATGATACAATAATGTAATACTAAAAAACCGTAGTTTGGTTCTGATGCAATACATTTTACAAAGATTGTGAGGGCCAAAATTCATTGTCCATCTCGTAAATCAAGCAAAACCAAAATTTGAGTGTTATGTTCTCATCTTTACATCTGATATGTTGGTTATTAAATCATCAAATCTACTTTTGATATAAACATAAAAGGGAAAAAATAAAAATACGATTATGAACTACGGGAAAAAAAGAAAAAGAAAAAAAAAAGAAGAAGAAAAGAAAAAAGCACACATACATGCAGCACTACAATAATTCATGTAACTCTTGACTTTAAGAAATGTCATAATCACATTCGAACCATTTTCTTTCCTCTAATCAAATGTGTTTTGCACTTATTCTAACTTCATTT